CGCACCTGTAGATGAGCATTCCATAAGAATTGCTCCAGAGAGGATCCAGAATGTCTCTCTGGAAGGTGATGTTTTAACTATTTCTCTCCACAGGGACTATGTTGAATCTGTAGATCTGGCAGGTCATGCTCAATTCCTTGCCAGAATTGAAAGGGTTAATAACAACTTATTCTTTCCTATGCAAATAAATGACTTAGGAAGAAGTAGGAATGCAAAGCTGGACTTACAGAGTGAGAACAGCTATATTAGCAGAAGTCTGTTAAAGCAGATAGCTAATCCTAAAATGGTGAGGTACGCTTCCCCACATGACAGGTGGATCCAGAATCTGGATGGCGAATCAGAGAGTCACAATGTGATAGCAAAATGTTTACTATCTATTTCCATCGGAAATAAGACAGTTAAACATTTATTCCTAGTGATAGACGAACCTCGCTATCAGGTTTACGTTGGCAATGATGTCATACATCGCTTTGCCATACACCTTGATCTGATTAATTCCAATTTGTGGACAAGGTTAAAAGGTAATCCTTGTGGATACCTACACGAGGAAAACGCCCTGAAATCAGGACAAATACTCCCATATGCGGTAAGTATCCAAGTTCCTGATGACATAACCATTCCACAGGGGACAAGTAATTTTCTTTTACCCCTACAGGTCAAGGAGGGTCAGAGATTAGAAAACTCTGATGCCCTAATCTGTTTATCTAACAAGATACAACAATTAGGGATGGTGGTAACACATACACCAATGGTAAGTATTGGTAAGAATCCCACCTATATCATGGTAAACAATGTTACACCCAATAGTGTTACTTTACCAAAAGGAACATTATTAGGTCTAGCATTGGATGCTGAGTACTATACATTTGGTTTCCAGAACCAAATTATAGGCCTCATCCCTGAAGAATACTTAACTGAGGACGAAATTGTCGATCAAATATTCCATTCCTCCCCAGAAGGATTATTCACTATCCTATCTGTATATCCCTTCAACGTTGAAGAAGGCTCGTGTAAAATCGAAGAAGCATCTATCACCTTCGATCATCCGCTCAATGAGCAGGAATCACAAGAGTATCACGACCAAAGAGAAAAGGTAAGTCAACACCGAACTGACCTAACTTCTAGGCTTGAAGAAGCTTATGAGATAGGCCAGCCTGAAATCTTTCCAGGATTTCAGGAAAGGCTAGAAGAGCAAATATCTTTAGCTGACGGTTGCTCCAACGATGCTGAGCGGCAACAGCTAAAGGAAATCCTTTTGGAATTCCAAGATATTTTTGCCAAAGATTCCTACGACTGTGGGTTAACTAACCTCCACGTAGCCAGAATACAAACTGATCCAAATTTACCACCTGTATTTATCAAACAATATAGACTCCCATTAGCGCCATATGATGGTCTACAAGACATCATTCAGAATTTAAAGGAAAGGGGCATTATACGTCCAGTGCACAGTTCGTATAATAATCCGATCTTGGGGATTCTGAAACCTAATGGACAATGGCGTTTATGCGCTGACTTACGACAGCTAAATAAACGCGTCTATATGTCTGGTTGGCCAACGCCATACATAGACCAATGTTTGGTACAAATGCAGGGATCCAAAATATTCACTGCCATTGACTGTGCGCAGGGATATTGGACTGTACCAGTCCATAATGAAGACCAATACAAATTGGCCTTCACATTTGGAAAGCAGCAGTATACCTGGACCCGTATGCCTTTCGGTTATATAAACTCTGGTCATGAATTCGCTGTGTTCATGCATAAAGCTATGCCTGACGCACTCGAGAGAGGAACGTTATCATATGTCGACGATGTCTTGCTGAAAAGCACTTCCTTTGATAAGCATATCTTAGAGATTAGACATGTTCTCACTCAGTTAAGAGAGGCAGGGATTAAACTATCTTTACAAAAGGCACAATGGTGTCGCAGCCATGTCAATTTCCTTGGACATGAGGTAACTTCTGAAGGATTAAATCCCCAAAGGAAGAAGGTTGAAGCCGTACTCAAGGCTAAAACACCTTCAAACATCAGGGAATTAAGATCGTTCCTTGGTATGACTAATTACTCCCGTAAGTTTATAGATAACTATGCAGAAATAACTAAACCACTCTTACACCTGCTTAAAAAGGAAACTACCTGGAACTGGGGGGAGCCTCAGGACCAAGCGGTAAGTGAACTGAGGAGGAAGCTCACTCAGGCACCCTGTTTAGCATACCCAGAGGGGGGTAAACCCTTCTATCTGGAGACAGGATATACCGATTTAAGCATAAGTGCTGTTCTGTATCAGAAGCAGGACAGTTTAAACAAAGTTATTGCATATGCTAGCAAGACTTTGTCACCTGTTGAAGTTAAATTCAACACGTGTGAGAAGGCGTTATTGTCGACCGTCTGGGCACTACAAAATTTTCGTAGCTATATCCAAGGTGAGAAAATAATTGTAGAAACAGCTCACCAACCTCTACAGTATCTGCAGAGTGAAAGAATTAGAGACGGTAATCTCTCTAACAGTCGGATTACTGCATGGACTCTATCCTTACAGGGATGGCCGTTAGAAGTCCGTTATAAACATAATAAGAGAAGCCCAGTTGCCCAAGGTTTAGCAGAATTACATGACTGTACTGCTCCATCTCTGGATGATAATGACACCGGAGATGACTTCCTAGAAGAGCAATTGCTATCTCCTTATAAAGTTTATGACGGGGAATACTGTCGACCACTACCGTGGGTATACATTGATGGTTGTTCATATCACCACGTCGTTGGTGCTGAACGGAAGTTAGTTGCAGGTATCGGAATCGCCTGGATAGGTGATTATCCTAATGTATCTATAGGATATAATATTGGTCCCAAAAGCAGTCAGATAGCCGAACTCTGTGCAGTATATAAGACCATTAAAATGGCAATAGAATATGGTATCAAAGAATTTGTTATTATAACTGATTCCAACTATGTTCGCAACAGTTTCGTCGAATATCTGCCTAGCTGGAAACGTAACCAAATGCTGAAGAGCAATAACAAACCTGTTAAACATGGGAAATTGTTTTGTAAAATCGATGAGTTGGTTAAGGAAAATGGTTTAACCATATATTGGAAGAAAACCAAAGGCCATTCTAAAATAGAAGGTATTGACAAGGATGGTAATGACTTAGCTGATTCACTGACAAAACAAGCTGCCATCAATGGTGAAACCCTAAACATTGATGATCTTATGGGTTCAATTCATGTTGAAGCCATAACTAGACGACAGGCTAGAGATAATGCCGACTTAAACGTCGTGCAGTGGAGTCAAGAAGCTCCTAGTGAGGACCTGATTACTAGTCAAAAGAATGATCCCGTCATAGGTATATTCTATAAACATATAGAAGACCCTACTGCCAATCCCATCACAGATGAGGATTGCAAAGATAATGAAGATTTACGAATCCTGATGAGATATAAAGTCCAATTTAGTATCATGGATGGGTTGCTGGTCAGAACTTCTAAACATGGTATACAACAATGGGTAGTCCCAACTGTATACAGAGGGTTAATGCTCCAACACGCACACGATGCACCTACATCTGGGCATCGTGGTGATAAGATCACATATGAGATATTGCGTGATTATGCATATTGGCCACACATGTTGAGGGATGTTAAGACATACTGTCAGGGATGCTTGATTTGTCCGCAATATCAACCCCATGGTCCAACCCATCGTGCACCACTTCAGAAGAGGGGGGTGTCATTACCCTGGTCTGATATTCAAATTGACTTTATAGGTCCTGTAACAAGATCTTAAAGAGGTAACAAATACATGTTAACCGTTACATGTATGTACACAAAGTGGATAGAATGTTTGCCTTGTAAAGAGAACACGAGTACCGTGTGCGCCACTTTGTTGATTAACCATGTCTTTTCCAGGTTCGGTCTGCCTCAAAGAATTGAGTCAGACAGAGGTAGTCACTTTACCAGCGAAGTAATGGCTAAGATGTGGAACATTCTAGGTGTTAAACGAAAGCTACATATTGCATCCCGCGCTGCATCTAGCGGGGGGGTAGAGCGATATAACCAGTCTATCGTTAATATTCTGAAGAAATATGTTAAGGAGTCTGGTAAAGACTGGGACATTAAATTGCCTCTAGTTTTAATGGCGATTAGAGCTACACCTAGCACTGCTACCAAATTGTCACCTTTTGAATTGATGACAGGAAGAAAGATGGTCTTACCACAGCATTTACTATATCGTACTTCGGATCATAACTTGATCAATGCCGCCACTACGCATCAGTATATCGAAGATTTGCGCAAGCATTTACAGCATGCGTTTGCTTTTGCCCAAAAGAATCTAGAAAAAGCAGCGACAGGGGTTAAGACCTATTACGATTTAAAAACCACGAAAAAGGAATATGAGATCACAGATCAAGTCTATCTGTATAACTTTGCGCGAAATCAAGTCAAGGAAAATAAATTTTTACCTTCTTGGAAAGGGCCATATGTCATTATTGACAAAATTTCCCCAGTAGCGTATAAGATAAAAATTCCTAAGGATGGTGATTTTATTGAAAAGTGGGTTCACATTAACCAGTTGCGTGCTTGTCATCCTAAATCTCAATTAAGGATTATAGGTGTGGATTCAGACGCAGAAGGGTGAACGACTAACCTGGATGAATGCTTGATTCACGTGGTATAGTATGATGTGAATTGTTGTGATGTGCCATGATCTCATGTACGTTCATGTCATTAACCATTTCCTTGCCATCCAATAACTACATTTTATAAGCAGGTTACTAGCTTGTTTAAATGCTATAGGCAAATTGCTGAAGAGTCAGTAATAAATGTAGTGAGGGATGAAGTTATAAAAATAGAATTAGACAGAATACATATGTTGATGAATCGTAATAATGTGTTTTCCTAGGCCAAGTGATGTCACACTGTTATAAGTTTGTATGCTTAACAAACCTTGAATCATTAGTAGATAAGTCTGAAACGAGTTCCTGATCCGTGACTGTCGAAAGATGTCCAAGAAGGATGTGGCGTGTTTCTGGATCGTACTGCTCCTGTGCCAAGAGCTACGGACCGACCCGATCGCAGAGATGGGACCATCCTCCGGCATCTTGATTCAAGAAACACCAGGGTTCATCTTAACGGAGAAGAGGATCCTGACCAGACGTGTGTTCGTCAGCTTGGACCCCAAGATTTCCATCGAGAAGGCATACAACATTTCATCGATGCAGCTTCCTGAGTTACAGACTTGGTACCAGATACACCTCCAAAGAGCACAGGACCGTGTGCGAAACATCTTGGAGCAAGCCCGGAAACCATTTGTATCCAGTTCTATTCCGATGAGCAACCGACCCAAAAGGTTCCTCACCGCTATAATTGTTGCATTAGTTTGTGCCACTGTCGGTGCAGTTGTCGCAACTGGAATGTCTGCAGCCAACTCTATTTCTGTCCAAAAGCTGGATATGGAAATCTATGCGCTAGAGCAATACATTAACGATATTCATCAGGTGATACAACAGCAAAGAACACTTCTCCAAGACGTGTTAACTATTGTGGAAGACACAGTTGTTACAACAAATTTGCATTCGGAATTAATTGCCAAATCCACTGAGTTGCACCAAAGTCATGACTTATTTAAGCGTGAACTTCTATTTCTGCATGACCCAATATTGTTCCACACACTTGCTTTTCTTGACGAAGTGCAAACTGGAATGATCGAATTGGCAGGGGGACGCATACCTCTGTATTTTGTATCCAAGGATATTGTTCATGCGATGCTTGCCAATGTGGATGGAGAGACAATTGAGCCTATGCAATTAAATCTGGCCTTTGAGATGGGGAGCGCTATACCTCTCTTAATTGATCCGGAACGTATGGAGATTTGCTTTTTATTGACCATACCATATGTAACTCCCAAAGACATTTTTCAAATGAAAATAATGTACTATGTTAGAAATGATGTGATTGCACAATATGTCTGATAACTTCCATAGTGCTTATTCATAAGCTAAATTAATTTTGGCTATGAAATGCACTAAAGGGGGGTTATGTCAGAGTATTTATATCGGCAGACATTTTGTGCTATGATAGAAACTAAAAGTGTATATTCTGAGTCACTCTGAACAGATCAGACTCCATTTTGTTATTTCAAGTTAACAAAGAAGACACTAGATTTCTTTCTGTAAGACTGGCCTCTTTGCCAGAGCTAAGGAATGCATAGTATAAACAAGTGATAAGGAAGGGGGTTGGACAGACTGTCTAATGCTAATGGAATATAATCAAATCTAAACCCAGACAATTGTGACAGAGAAGATTAAATTTAATATTTAACTGTCTATATATATAAGGTACCATTGTATGGAAAAGGGTAAACTTAGTTCATGATCTGTCATATCAGAAATTATGGCAGGAATTGCAGACGCTAAGTCTGGACAAAATTTAAGAACCCCTTTGATCTTTGAAGGATACGTAAGTTATAGCCACTATCTAGATAGGCCAAAATGACGTCAAAATAGCCACCAGGAAAAGTTAACTCTTTCCTGGATAGGTATGTTTAGTGGGACAAGACTGCCCTCTACAGACCAAATAACTAATTTGCGATCTGGAAGATAACCACACCTCTAGTGCTTCTATTGGGTTATCAACTGATGACGTACAGAGAGTCTGGCCCTTTAAAAGTTAAGACAAAGGGGAGATATACAAGATACGAAAGAGGAGGCAGATGCAAGATATGCGAAGGAGAGGAGAGAGGAATTGGAAGTTTGGGGATTCCAACTCGGACAACATCTGAGACTAATACTCTACTCCTAAAACTCTAACACTTAGAATTTACTGACTTTCTAACCAACACCTCCATGCAGAGAGACTACCAATCGGATGAAATATCTACTCAACTGGTAATTATACTGGTTTAATTTAATTAAATTAAATTAATTAAAATGTATTAATAGCATTATATATGACTGGATAAAGCACGGTCAGATTTCCATATTAAGAAATCTTAGTTAACTAAGAATATATAGTTATAAAGATTCCATTCTGCAGGTGGAATTAAGAATAATTATATATTGATGTGATATTATCACGTGTTAGCATACCGCTGTTTTTATCCAGGTGTATTGATTTGCTCTAAATTAAGATAGATATCTTTTAGACAAATTAAAAATCTGCTTATATAATGTTAGATTCTCTTATTGGATGGTTTAAGAAAATGAATTTAAACTGGTTTAAATGTTATTTTATTTAAAAATTACATAAGAATAGATCTTAACTACCTAGGAGATCTAGCCAGCATTGAAAGGGTTATTCTAACTGTCTGCTAAACTTTACGACCTTACGCTGCACTCTGAGGAATTCTGTTCTTTGCTGTGAAAAGTTTCACTTTCAGCCTGTGTTAAAGATAGTCATAAATAATTCTTGACAGGAAATGCTGTTTAGCCATTGAAACGTAATACCCATTCCTTTGTATTGCATATAATTTTGTACTGGATATTCATTGATTATTGTCATGCATGTTACATAATATTATTTGTTAATTATTGGTTATCATAAATAAAATCTATTTTTATACATTGTGATTATTTATATGAAATACTTTTCACTTAACACGATAAACGTTCTTTGGGATCTGAGAATTGAATTAGTGGGCAATTCTCAACTGTTACTATTATTATCCCATAAATATCCCCACAAGACCAAAGGGAAGGCAGCGGAATCGCCACATTGTCGCTTCCCATTGGAATTGGAGCAGGTGGTGGCACTCTTCCGCAATGGGGATTGTAAGATATGCATCTTGGAGGTCCAGCTTCACCATCCAGTCCCCTAACCTGAGCAGGTCTCGCAGGCAGTGGATACCCTCAATTTTGAAATGGTGGTACCGCACAAATGCGTTTAGTGGCCGCAAGTTGATGACTGGGAGTACTCCGCCGCCCTTCTTGGGTACCAGAAACAGATTGCTCATGAACCCAGGGGATGGTGAAGGGACCCGGTATATGGCGCCCTTCGCTTGGAGGGTGCGAATCTCCTCGCTCACCAAGCCGTTGTCTTGCGTGGAGAAAACAATGCTGTGTGGTCTGTGTGTTTGGACCGGGGTTCGCACAAACTCTATGTGGTAACCCCTGATGGTGTTGAGGACCCACACGTCCGCAGTCAGCTGTTGCCAGGACTCTATAAAGTGTAACAGTCTGCCCCCCACAGTCGGTACACCCGGGAGGGGGGGAGGTAATACACTTACCATAAGGTCGGCGGCTGTACGAGTTGCCTCTGGGTCCTCGAGGTTGCCATGGTCTGGCCCTGACCGGGAAGAAGGGTGAGGGCGTACTGCTCTCTGGCGGCTGGAATCTAGCCGTGGCGGGACCTCTGTATCCCCGGTAGGAACCGCGGGAAGAATGGCCGGGCAGACGGCCCCGGTGTCTGCCGGCCCCACCAAAAACTCTGGGAGAGAACACTCTTTTTAAATTTGTCTGTGCCTTGTCTAGGGCCGTAAAGGTGCTCACATACGTTCCCAGTTCTTTGACAAAGTTGTCTCCGAACAGGAGACCCTTGGCTTGCGGTCCCGGTTCGGTGAGAGCCAAGTTAACTAGCTTGGGCTCGATTTTCATTAAAATAGTTTTGCGCCTTTCTGTGGCCAGTGCAGCGTTAGCGTTGCCGATGAGGCAGATCGACCGTTGGGCCCAGCCTCTAATGGCTAATAAATCAAGAGGCGTTCCCTCATTTAAGGCCGCTTCGACCAATTAAAAAATCTTGGCACTAGGGCCCAATGTATCCAGCACCTTATCTTGACAGTGGCGTAGGGAGTAATCAAGTCCCTTCTTCGCCTTCCAGCCAGACTTACCCAAGACCTGTGCTATTTTGGGGTCGATATCTGGTGTAGCACAGGCCATTTCAGGCACAGTCGGGCGTGGGCATTCAGCCCGTAGTTTCTGCCTGGTGGCCTTATCCAAAGGTTTGCGGATTCTGGCCGCTATGTATCGTGCTACATGATCGGTTGCATACCACTCCGCCGACCTCGGGTTTTGTAAGGTGTCTGGGTCGAACAGAGGTTCGCCCTGAGGGTCCAGAATAGTGGTGTCATCCGCCGTGTCATGCACGGGGTTGGCTGGATTGCGTGTCGGACTCTGGTCCGGGGAGGAAAACTCCCATTCCTCTGAGTCGGCTTGGTCCGACTCGTTCAAAACCTCCTCACTATCCGAATCAGTGTCGGAAGAATCTGACAGGGCTTTTGCCCTCTTCCATGTCCGCGCCGCTTTTGCCCGGCGGGTGGCTCGTTTTCGTGGGGGCCCGACGACCTCAGGTGCGACAGGACGTACCCTGTCCGTCAGTCTAGTTTTGGAGGCATGTGTTCCCACATTGTGGGTTTTACTCATGGCCTTACGGCCCTCTCTGCTTAAAGGTTCCCCCTCTGCGGCCCTGGCTTGAGTCATGCTGGGGTTAGACGCCTTAATGGCACTCGAGATGGAGTGTGACAAGTTATCCGACATAACCCCCATGGCGGTAAAGATAGCTTGGGTAACTGATTTTGACATGGTGACGTCCAGGAGCGAGTGGAACTCCTCAGAGTCCAATTGCTCCAGAGGGGCCACCATGTCCCTATGCAGGGATATGGGTTCAGCCACGGAGGGCCCGTGCTGGGCCTTAGTATCACCTTTATCACTGGTGCCAGGGGCAGAGAAATCCTCAGGGGTCTGCATCTTGGGGGTATGTAAATGGCTATTTGATGTGCAGTAGTGAGTTATTAAAGGCAAGAGAAAAGGCAGGACAATAGCACAGAATGTACTGTTAGCTTACCGAGTGTTCCCTCAGGAATGGCTCCTGGGATCACTGGCAAGCTAACAGTTACACTAAACAGACCAATCAGCTCGCGCCCTGCAGTGGGCTGAACGAGCTGAGGAAGAAAAAAGAGCGGCAAAATTTTTCCTAGTGCCGCCCCTTTAAGATGTGCGCCAGTATGGGCCGCGCATGCGCGCGCGGCGCTCCCGAGGTATGAGGTATGAGGGGGGTAATAAACTACCCAGCGGCGAGTGTGGAGCCGGTATCCCCGCGGGGGGGCGGGGTACCGGCGGGACAACGTGGGGGAAAAAAAGGGGGGGGCCCCCCCCACGGAGGGTTAGCTTCTAGGGGTGGTATACACCAAACGCACAATGCGTTCTGGTGAGATAAAATCAGGTCACAATAACAGGCATAAATCAAAATAAAGCCATACACATATACATTAAGAAATGACAGTTAAGGAAAAAAACACAGTGTTACTTAGCTGAGGCAGCAGCAAAGAAAGAGGAAGAGGAGGAGGTTACAGGAAAGGATATCAGAGAAGGACTGCTCCTATTGGATAGGAGATAATGATGTAATGTTAACCCTGTGAGGGTAGTTATACATGTTTCTTTTCCTTTTTTCTACAAATAAACACCTTAGCTTTCTTTGCTGCTGAGGAATAAAGAAAGAGGAAAGCCTAATAAGAGCCTCCGTGTCCTTTAATAAAATGATCGTTTATATTCTGTTATGTACATCTTTCTTTTTTTTTTCTTTTTTTTTTTCCTCTTTGATATTTAATCAAATACGATATAAATAACTATAAATGGACAGGAATTCTAAATTATATTTCTTTGTATGTTTGAAAATATGTAATGAAAATGTATATATAATAAAGTTTTTTTTAATTTCTAATGCAGTTTAGTACATGTGAACTAATTTAGTGTTGTATATGCTCTTCTGTGTTATGCACCCTTTGTTTATTTACGGGCTGCCCTGGACCAATCAATCCTTGCTCTCCTATATATAAAATAATATGGCATTCATCTATTACAACTACAGGTCCTGGCAATGTGGCTGTTAAAAGGAATGGGTTTAACTTTCTGCAATAGATTTTTATCGTGCAATCTAAAGTCCTTTTAGATGTTCCCCTACATTTTGGACTTTATTCACCACTCCAGGTTTTTTTACTTCATGTACATGTTTTTTTAAAGTTACTAAATTAAACTGTATT